AGCGTCATGCAAAATGTTTGCGGATGATGTATCACTGTATATGAAGGTAAATAATAATATCGTACTAGCAGCTGCTAAACTGAATGATGGCTTAAAGAAGGTGAGTGAATGGTCGGTGAGATGGTACCTTGCATTGAATGCCATTCAATTCGTAACACTCGTACACAAAATACCGTATGTTGTTTACGAGTGTTGTTAAGACTCTTTATCCTGCTTTACTTATTGATAACGTTATGCTACCGTATGTTCAAAAGCATGTTCATTTAGGATTGATACTAACGTCTACTTTAAGTGGAGGATACATATTCTTAATATGTCCAAGAAACGTTCACGCACAGTGGGCTCGATGAAGTACTTGAGCCGTCAGACCCTAAGCTCTATCCATCAGGCCTATGTACTTACTGTCATTAACTATGCTCTAGTTATTTATGAAGGTACTGATGAGTGTAACCTGAACATGCTAACCCTAATTCAGTATCAAGCGGCGCTAGCAGTTTCATGTTGAATGCGTGGTACATCGCAGCAGAAAATTCTGCAAGACTTAGGTTGGTTGTCAGTAAGTGAAGCCGTTAAAATTATGTTCCGAGCAAATGGAGCAAACAGCAACAATTTAGAGAAAGGCACCGTTCAACTTTTGAGTTATACTGCTGCCAATATCCTTACCTGGCATGCGAAAACTTTAGTTTTTTCTGGAAATTTCAAATAGACTTTCAGAGAACTTTCTGAGCTACCATGACTTTCCGGTTTTCTCTTCGGGCCATGATATTTAGACACGATGTTACGGAGTTTATGGACAAACTTTTCTTATTATATATGTGCAAGCATATATCAAGTAAATTTAATATAGTTTATGTACTTTTTCTATCGCTCTCATATCTTTCTTTATTCATTCTTAATCTGTTTTTTCTATATTAAATTTACTTGATATATGCTTTGCACATACATAACAAGAAAAGTTTGTCTATGGTTTTCATAGGGTATACGTATTGACTTGCGGATTACAAATGGAAAAGAATCTAATAGTGTAATTCAACAGTACAAAC